GATGCTTGAATTCTTGCCCTGTAACATAAAACATCTAGAAAAACAGACAAGCCATTTTGGAATGACTTGGAAATAGGCAACAGAGAACTATCCACCAAGTTATTTTTCAACTTTTGTGGCTTTCCTTCACAGCCTGAAGTTCACGCTGAGTTAAGAGCTCAGAGAATGGAGCTTTTCAGAAAACTGAAGCTGTTATCCTTCACCCACTTACATACCGTGGGGAGTAGGAGAGGAATGAATAGGACAGGACAAGACTCAGGGCTGCCCAAGCACATGCAAATCCTCAGTTAAATTCACTGACCCCTCTGCAGGGCAAGTGTCCTGTCATACGTTGCAGAGCCAGATGGTTTGAGAACATCTCAGTAACTCAGCTGCATCGTGCCTGTTGCAGAGCCAGATGGTTTGAGAAGAACATCTCAGTAACTCAGCTGCATCGTGCCCACAGCTTGGGCACCTCTTCATAGCCTTTTACCCCCCCGAGTTACCACACCACCTCTGCTACAGGCAGAGAGGTACTTGACAAGATGAACTAACAAAAGTGGGGGTTCTAAGAGCCTGTCCTCTTTTTTTTAACCAAGGTATTTGGAGCCTTAACAAGTGTGAGAACCACCTTTTGCACCACAGCCTTTCCCTGCAGCAAGGTGATATGCAGACAGTCACCATTTTACCTTTACTTTTCACCCCCCCAGGCTTTATCTACTTCTCTTGAGTGTTCCAGCTCTCTTCTGGATAGAAGTGAAAATTGTGAATCCATCCCAAAGGCAATTTTTAGGGGAATTCCCTTGCAACAGGCATGAGGGAAAGTAGCCCACAGCAGGGACAACGTGTAACATGGCATGTTATGCAGCCAATTTGCCTCTCAGAGAGGACAACAGAAATCAGGGCAGATATCCTGGGTAAGACAGGGAGCATGGGTTTGCCAATAAATAATTTATGCCAAACACTTCCCTTATCTCACATTCCTAAATTGTTCCTTACCAGATTACCAACCTCATACAGTAACAGAAAGTCCATGTGTACAACCAACATCAAGAGATTATAGAATAAAACAAAACAGAGAGCTTGTTAACCTACCAGATCTGTCCAACGTTGACCAAGGAGAGGTAGAGAAGCCACAGGAGAGCCATGAGGACCATGTTTGCACATCCAGTTACCAACACAAAGGCTGAAGTTGCCAAGCCTAACAGGGAGATGTAGTCCAAGATACTGTCCATGTCTGACCAGTCCAGAAACCAGATGATTGTTGGTGCATAGCTGAGAGCATCCAGGTTGATCTTCCCTTTGAAATACTTCTTGACATTCTGCAGGTAGAGTTTACAGGGGAGCAGCCCCTTCTCTCCTATCAGCTGCTTGTTTTGATGATATGCCACCAGGAAGGCCACAACTGGAGGAAAACAAGGAAAGAGGGAAAAATAAAGAAGTATCAGAAATCATGCAGGCTGAAGTACATATTTCAAGTCCAAGTTACAGCAGTAGATTCATGCATTGGGGAGGAATTTTTTCAGATGCCCTCATGCCCATTAAAATACAAGACAGTCATTTCTTTTAACCACGATGCAAAAGGCAGAGGAATTCTATAAATACTGTCTCTGCCTTCACACCAGGAAGTGGCACAGAGCCTGTTTTGAGATAATTCTCTCCTCAAGAGCTGGAAGGGACATGCCACTTGCTTCAGGCAAACTCAGCAATGCTCTTCTGGGAAAGAGCTCCTTGTAACTGAGCGACCTGACCCAGGGTAGGAACAGGAGGCTCAGCCCAGCTCCCTTCCACGCTGCCTGACCCGGGGTCACTCACACACACTGTTCACCTCCTCAGCTTAATTGCACTGCAGGGTACAAGTGAAAGTAACACAATCATTTCGAGACTTTCAGCCTGAATTTCCTTTCCACAAAAAGCATTTGGAAAGGAGACACTGAGAAGCCCTTGGGTCCTGCACAGGGACCAGGGAGCAGCCAGAAGGGGACACACAAACCCCTTCACCTTTGCAGCACCAAAGACACAGCTGGACTTTTCCAGCCCCTCCTATTGCAGCTTCACAAAACATTCTGCAATGTAAATAGACAATAGCTCCAACACAGGTTTTGTTGTGGATGGTGATGCTCAGTGTCTGCTGCTCCCAGCACACAGCCCAGGGCAGAGTGGGGGCAGATTGTGCTCACAAGGTTGCACTTTAGAGGACAACACATCTCCAGTGATACAGAACATCCACCTATCAAGTATTGGATCATTCCCTTGTATTGAAAACATGTCATATTTCAAAATATTGTGAATGAAACCACTTCAACTCATGCACACCATTCAAGGGGTGTCTAAAGGACACCTTAATTCCCTTGGCACCATCATGGGAAATAGTATCCACTGCAAGTGCAGAACACAGGAGTTATGCTGGGGGTCGACCTTCTGGATCCTCTCACATCCTGGTAGGCTGGAAATGCAAAGTCTTAATATTTTCCTGTCCTCTAAATTGTTACTTTTTACATGTCACTACAGCTCTCTCATTTATAGTGTCTGTGCTCTTGCACTGGACAATCTTAGAATAGCCAGATGCTTTTTTTAACAGCACACAAGCAATTTAATTACAGATTATAGCCCTAGAATTTGATGTTCTACAGAGAAAATTGGTCAGCTTCTAGGGATTAGCTCATATTTTAGGAATCTCCTCCAGTTACCAATTTGCAGTTTGTAACTGTAGCCATCTCCATTTCTCAGGAAAAAAAAAAAGATTAAGGCCAACATTTCCTGATTAGGCTCTATAAATTTGGCTCCCAGCAGCTGACTTACCCATCTTTTAACCAGTATCCAAACACCAGCCACATCACATGCAGCAATACCAGAGGCCTTGCAAAAAGGCCAATTTGTTCTCCCCCCACCAGCCCTCCATAGTTAATGATCAAATCTGTTTCCTTCCTTATCTGAACATTGTCATTCTGCAAACAGAGTGTTCATCTGGTTGGTGACTCTCACTGGGAACACTGGTGGAAATTCTATGGGAAACCATATCCCCAGTTCAGACCCAGATCCCCATTTCTTTGAAGTCTGAGTAGCAACCAAATGTCTGCAGCCCCAGGGAGCAAAAATAAATGTCCCATTCCCTGCAGACACACACAAAGGTCTCCAGTGGATTTCAGTTAATCCACTTAACACTCCAGCTCTTTGCACACGCCATCTATTTTGTTCCCAGTTGAAAAACCACTAAAACTCACAATCCAACACATCTCTGAGGTCACTAGGAGGGTTTCCATTGATTTCAACAGATCCTGAATCACAGTAACACAATAAACTTGGGGGTTTAATTGGTTGCATCCCTTTCCATCTGTCTTTGATACACAGTGAAGGATTTTACAAACTACTAAAAGAAATGCAGAATATTTTACTCAGTTATGGACAGGGAGGGAGAAGAGAAAAAACTGATGGAATACTAAAGAACCAGCTTTGGACTGCAAATCAATTGTTTTATATTTTCGAGCATTCAGCTTTTTCTGCCAACACTCCAATGGGCACAACTGTGTAACGAAGGTGCTTGATCCATGAAACAAGCAGAAATCTAGAGCTTCTAAGCCTCAGACAACTTCCTACTTTCATTTCTGGTTTTAAAAAAAACCCAACTAACTCTGCCTTAAAGCTCCAAGGCTTGATTTCCCTTGATTAGCACCACAATTTACTGCAGTTTTCTAAGAGTGCTAATCAAATTCAGCTCTAAATGCCACAGAAATTACTGCCCCAACCCATAACTGCTAAGCAGTTGGTTTCTTTTCCTAAAAAAAAAATAAAATATCTAAATTAGACCCCTGCACAGCATGCAAGATAAACAAGGAAAGGATATATTAGGAAAAACAAACTACAGCAATTGCAGAAAAGTACACATTGTATGTACAAAATACTGTACAGCTTTTTTAAGTCTGCAAGCAGCAAAGCCTGCATTCTAGGTTGGCATGAACTACACATCTAAAGATTGCCCAGTTTGGGCTCCAAAGTGTTGGGGTTTTTTTCCCAGAGCACTAGTTTCTCATAAGGCACTGCACTGCTGATACTTCATACATTATGATTTCACAACCAAACCCCACCCACAACGGCCCTAATTTGATGAAGAACTCACCTAACCCATAACAAATCCTGACCATCCCACCTACGCCCTGGTCCATCACTCTCCCAAGCCCTGAGGGTCCATCAGCAGGTACAGTTTATTACTCCTATGAGCCAGCATTTCCTTGCTTGTGCTGCTCCATCCTGGATCCAGCTCCCTCTCCTGGACACTCCCCAAGCTGAGCTGCTGTCTCAAGTCGTGCTGTCCCTCCACTCATCTCCAGCATCTTTTGGAGCACGTTTGAAAGGCACCTCCCTGAGGCAGGACCCACTTCTCAGACCCCACCACCAAGCTGTCTAGCCCTCCTCTCCCAAGGCACCAGCTAAGCCTTCCAGAGGCTTCGCCCTGGAGGCGGCACTTCCCATGGTACCAGACACGTGCAATAGCTGAAACTAAAGACAAATTCTGCAGAGGATTCCAACAACACAGGACATGTACACATCACGTTATTTATCAGCTTGTCACTGCTTCCTCTCCCTGAGCTCCTACCCAGAAAATGTACCTTTAAATTATCTGTAACACAGACCCTGCTACCTTCTCCAGGAACCTCCCCTTTGATCTTGGCTTAGTTGGAAGGGGAAGGAAAGGGGGGTGGGTCCCTTCTGCCCACAAAGCCTGTGCTTTTCTTCCTCTTCCTTAACCCCTATTCTGAAACTTCACTCCTGTTGGCCTTATATATAGGCATTTTCCACTCTTCACCTTCCCACTCCCTCCAGATAAACTTGGTCCAAAAGTTTGCTTCCACCTTGGGCACTGGCTGCCGTGCCTGCTGCCTGGCTGGGCATGGGGAAGGTTAACTGCTCCCCTCCTCTTCCTGGCAAGGCTATTTGCTCCTTCGCAGATTAAAAATGCTCAGTCTCAGTGACTCCCAAGCTCCCTCCCACTCAGGAGGCAGAAGGAGCCTTTGACAGCTCACATGGGAGCACACTCCTCTACCTGCTGCAAGCTGATCTTTACGTAAGTAATACATGTAAATTGTCAGCAACTGCTAATAGACCTTCACTACTTATTCTCACCTCAGATGGTGCTTTACTGTACTTTTCCATTAACTCTCCCCCTCCACCTTCTCCTTCCCCTCCCAGCCTCCTCTCCCCCCAGACTGAACACCTTCCTTGTTCAAACCCACATGCTACCAATAAACACAACCCAAGCATGCAACACGAGTCACCCAGCTGAAATTATTTGATCTGTCCATATTGCCCTGTCACCTCAGTTCCTTTCCCCCAGTCCAGGTTCAGCCTGTCATGGTAGGAGAATGAGAGAATCCCATTCTTCATGCCCTGTAAAGATTTAAAGATGTGAAATCCAAACCTTTCTGGTCATACGGCTTGTTCTCTCCTCCAGTAAAAGAAGTCTTAACTTTTACTTAAAGCCCAAACCACAAGAAGGAATGAACCAAGAGCAAAGACGTCTGCACGAAAACCAAACTACATTTTGTACACACACACAAATCTGTGTGGAGCCATATACCAAGTGCACCTTTGACCCAAAACAAGCATTCAAAAAGGGCCCTGTGCTGGATCCTGACAAGCTGAGATTTTGCTACTGAAAAGAGAAAAAGGGAAGCTATGCACACTCCTCTCATTACAGTCTGATAAATTAATCAAATCAAGTTTTCAATTGATAAATTGCCCAACAAAGTTTTGCAACACAAAAGCAACAGCACTGTGGTACTGAGCAAAGAGCCAGAGTGAAACCAAGCCCCCCCTTTTCATCTTGCAAGCCTAGAGCCACAAGCAGGCACACAGCAAAGCAGTCTGTTCTCAGCAGGGTTTTGGTTTATTGCCATTCGCAGCAAAGCTGAAGGCTTTGGGGTGGTTGCTTTGGAGGCTTTTTAAACACTTACCTCCACATTTCCCCTTTGCTTGAAATAATGTGGGAGCAAATAGAAAAGGCTGGGCTGTGGCACTGCTAAAATGCTTCCCCAGAGGAGCCAGGTTGTTGAGAAGCATACAAGCAGCAGTCCAGCCTGCAGCTGGAGGATGCTCTGAGAAGATCCTTCTGCTCCAGACCAGCTCTGGACAAGCAGCAGACTGGGAGATACTCCCCTTCTCACTTCTTGCCAGCATTTCCCTGAAACTATCTCCACTTGCTATGAATTTATCTGCCCACAGTGAGAGTGCTTTGTTCAGGACCAAACAATTCTGTCTCGCTGACACGGCTCCTTCGTGGGGATGGTGTGGCTGGCTCAGAGGACACAGAGCTAACACACTGCCCGTGTTGTGCAGACCTGCCAACAAGTGCTGTGCTGCAATTAAACATTTTGAGTGAGAAAAAGTGTCAGAAGTAATCCTGACTAGACGAGCTGAAAGCTACTGGGAGCCTTTTCATATCACTAGAGGAAGAGACTGGGGGAAAAGCAGGGGAGATGGCACAGACAGAGAAGAGGAAGGACACTGGGGAGAGCCAGGAACCTACAGAAAGCTGAAACCCCCCAAGAAGGCTTTAGATGTCAGAATTAGGAAGAAGCAGCATGAACCTCCTGTGGCTCTAGCTCTGGGAAAAGAAAATAGTACTATTAAACAATATGTAAGGAGAAGATCAAGTGGATTTAAAGAATAGCTTTTATTTCAAAGCACTCTACAGAGCCTGGCTGAAATTGGGAAGGGTGGTATCTAATTACTTAAACTTCTACATCTGGAATCTGATGATAGCAAGCATCCAAAAAGGGCAGTTTGCAATTTAGAAGGAGGGTGAGGGGAGCAAATCATGCCCTTTTTTTTTTCTCAGGAGCTATTTACCTGTTACATGACTTCCAACCAGACCTCAAAGGCTTTATGTATTTATAAAAAGTCAATCCCTGCCATAAAGAACAACAGCATGAGACCAGGACAGAAAACCTTCAAATCCCAAAAGGGCATTTGTCCAAGCCTCCCTGTCCCATGAATTATTGTATTAAAGATTGCAACTGGACAAGCTGAAATGGTGGAAACCTGTGAGACAAATCTCTAACTGGCACACCAATACTACACAAAGATGCCTTTACAGAAACAAAGAGAGGGATCTGGGCGCAGAGCACTGGCTAAAAAAACTACGTAGTTGTTCTCTTCCTCAGTGTTCAAGGCTGGATTCTGTCTTACTTCACATCCTCCTCCTCCAAAAGGATTTTAGCACTGCCCATACTTACTTGGTGAAGTGGAGAAAGAGGTCCCAGAGCTGAAAATGTCTCCTAGAGCTGTCAGTTATAAGAATTTAAGTGCCACCTAATTTACAAGTGCACAGTGCTGGCTACTATTAAAACCAGAAATGGACAGACAGGCCTTTCATTTACCTCAGTGCTGGGAAGATCCCACTGGCACAGCCCTGCTGCAAAGAGCAAACCTCAATTATCACTTGCAGCTTGAATCCATCTTCCCCTTCCTTTCTATTCCTACAAGCAGCAGGTGGCTGTGGACCCCGACCTCCATGAATCATCAGATCCTCTCCCACCTTCCCATCTCTTGCTTGCCTCTCAGACAACAGCTGCCTTGCCAGGGACTTCCCAGGCTCTGGCTGCTTCTGGAAACCCCCTTGGAAAAAAGGAGAATGTTCTTATAACCAAAGGGGGTGGGGGAGAAGGGAGGGCACACAGGACACCTCACACCTGCCTTGCTCCTCCTGTCCTTTCCACAGAAGAACCAGTTGCACTAACAGGCAAAGGTACAATCATCAGGGGGTGACAACTTCCCTGATACTTTAACACAAGGTCCCTCCCAAAGGATTTGTTGCTTGACAAAGCAGAAATGAAGGGGTTACATTGAAATGAATGAAGTGGAAGAAGGGGGAAAAACGTCCCAGCAGTGAGGAATGTCAAACTGTCACAGCAGCATCAACCGTCTCCTCAGGCAGCCTGAGGCTGCGGGTGCAGGATCGCCACGTCTGGGGAAAAAATCATCTGTCAGAGTAAATGGTTCCATCTTCAGAAAAGAGCTTGGAAGAGGAGCTTGGCACAGAGGCTTTTAAATTGTTTTCTGCTGTTTCTAAGCCCAGGCTCTCAGAAGAGATCAAAAGGCAACCCACCTTCCCTGGAGAGCATCCTACCCCGACAGCCGTGTCACGGCCCTGCAGCCTTGGACTGCAGGGGAACCTGCCTGCTCACCCCTCCATCTCTCAGACACACCAATTAGTTCCCACTCCACGAGTGCTTCCACTGTAGGCTGCACAGCATCTCCTGTGCTCCAAGATCAGGGCTGGAGCTCTAGCACCACTGCACTGACAGCCTGAGTCAGAAATTGACTTGTATCAAATCTGGCCCAGGTTGTTTGGCTCTTCATCAACCAAAACAAACATCAAAAATCACATGTCACCCGATTGCAACCAAGCTGAAATTGCATAACAAGCAGGCAAACTTCTGTCAATTGCAAGGGCAGAGCCATCCCCCTACCCAGCTCCTTTCAGCTCTGCTGCACAAGTCCTTTACTCTGAGGCTACCTCTCTGAAAAGGGTTTCCTCACTCCAGACTGCAGAAACATTTCAGGGTCTACTCCCCACTTCTGCCACTCCCATACGTTCCCACTCCTCTTCTGAAAACCACAAAGCCCAGTTCTCCCTATTTCCCAACATCTTGCTTTCACTTCCCAGCCTCCCATCTCACCCCCATCCTCTGGCCTGCAAACACTCACTCTCCCTTTCTCCCTGCAGCCCACAGGCTTCAATCATCTCCATGATTTAACTCACCTGACCCTGAATGGGGTACTCACTCCTGCTCTCATTACCCTCAATCAAGTCCCCCACTCACCAGAAGGTCCCACCTGGTTGACTCACTCTTCACCCTCCCCTGCCCCATCACTCCCTTACCAACTCCCACCCCTCCAGCCACTGTCTCTCCCTTTCTCTCCCCCCCAGCAGCCCCTTCCCATCGAACCCATCACCACCCCACAGGGCAGCATTGGGTGGCACGTTTATACCCCTGAATTCCAAGCGCACAGCAGAGAACACTAATCAGTGTTTCCTAAGGAAACTGCAGACTGAGCCACGGGAAACTCAGCAGTCTGGATTTACACACGAGGGAATATCAGAATCGCTTTCATTTTGACTGAAAGAGTCATAACCCTGCATTTCATCGAGGGCTGAAACCAAACTAGAAACAGAGCACGTGTCAAACCCATACGAAACTACAGCTTCTGCATGGTTTTGATGCAAAATAATCTAAGCAGGCTGGCAGCCTACAAATCCTAACGATTTTGTGGACAAATCTGGGGCAAGTTTAGAATTTGTAACATAGTGTGTTACATGTCAGGTTCAGTTTCCATGTGAATATTTCTCAAGTGGAGCACCAGTGGGCCTGGAGCAGGGCTCTGAGCATTCCGAGCCAGAGCACGAGCTGAAGCAGCACAGCTGAGGTCAGGAACCTGTTTCACCAGTAACCACGGGTAATGGTCAGTGTCCATAGTCATGTCCATGCCAGTGCCAACAGGCAGCGTTGGCAGCCAAGGATGTCATGTCTGTCCAGCCCTACTTGGATGCTAAAGGCCTGATTCTGTAAGATGAGGATTTGTTCCCTTGCTCAGCTGACTCACAATATCTGCCTTGATGAGGAAGGACTGCCAGCTCTGGGCAGCCCCGCTCGCAGCTCCCAGCCTCATGGGGTGAGCAAACCCTCCTTGCAGCTCCACCAACACGGGAGCCCAACTTGACCTATCACCACCCCGGCCACCAGCTGCAGGGCTCCCGTCCCGCAGGAAAACACGAGTGGGAAACTGCGTTTCCCATCTCTGCTGTCCCCTCGAGCTACACACACACACACACACACACACATAATAGCACCACACAGAATATGAGTATTTAACAGCAGTCAATGAATAAAGCTGTCAGCTCAGAGCACCTCCCTGCCACCAGTGCCTTTGCAGAAGGCTGGGACATCAGGGGGTGCCAAAACATCAAGCTCCATTATCCCAAAGGAGAACACTTGGAACTTGGCAAGGGATAAAGTGAGAAGTGTGTTGATATAAATAACCCTGCTTGATAGCACCCTCATA